ACACATTATAATAAAAATGTTGAAAGCCAAAGATAAAGAGAACATTTGGAAAGCAACCAGAGGAAAAAAAAACGACTCATCATTTACAGGGGCACTATGGTAAGATTAACAGAGCTGACATCTCTTCAGAAACAAAGGAGGCCAGAGGCAGTGGGGTGACATTCAAAGGGCTGAAAAAAAAGTAACTGTCAATCAAGAATTCTATATCCAGCAAAACTGTGCTTCAAAAATGAAGATAAAATTTACACATTCCTAGATAAACAAAAACAGAAAATTTATTACTAGCACACTTACAAGAACTGCTAAAAAGTCTTCAGGCTGAAAGAGGCAGCAAACAGTAACTTGAATTTACATGAAAAAATAATAAAGAGCTCTAGTAAAGGTAATTATGTTGGTAATGACAAAACACAGTATAATTAAACATTTTTTTCTTAACTAATTCTAAAAGCAGTCACATAAACAGCATCTATAAAATTGTATTGTTATGCCTGTAACATATAGAATTGTAATATATTTGACAATAAAACACGAATGAAGCTCTACTGGAAAAAGGAATTGACAGAAGGTGGTAATTAGAATACACAGGAAGAAGTGAAGAGAGTCAAAGATGATAAATACGCTTTATTTAAAAAGTCTCTATATACTTGAGCTGTCTTTTTTCCTCTTAGCTTCTTAAAAAAAGACATAAGTTGGGTGGGCATGGTGGCTCACGCCTATAAACTCAGAGCTTTGGGAGGCTGAGGGGGGTGGATAACCTGAGGTCAGGAGTTCAAGACCAGCCTGGCCAATGTGGTGAAACCCTATGTCTACTAAAAATACAAAAATTAGCTGGGTTTGGTGGCAGGTGCTTATAATCCCAGCTACTCAGGAGGCTGAGGCAGGAGAATCGCTTGAACCCAGCTCAGGTTTGAGTTGAGATCACACCACTGCACTCCAGCCTGGGCAACAAGAGCGAAACTCCATCTCAAAAAAAAAAAAAAGACATAAGTTTTTATAAAGGAATTATGACAATGTATCATTGGGTTTGTAATATATATAGACATTATGTGAATAAGAGGACAAAAAGATGAAAGGGAGGAGAGCTATCTGTGAGTAAAGCTTCTATGTCTTACTGGAATTGAATTAATATAAAGATGAAGTAGATTCTGGTAAATTAACATGTATATTGTAAGCCCTAGAGCAACCAGTAAGAAAGTATCATGAAAATATAGTTAAAATTATTAAAAGAATTAAAATAGTATGCTTGGAAGTATTCACTTGAGACAAAAGGAGATAAGTAAAAGAGAAAATGGGAACAAGATAGGATAACTATTTCAGGACCATTAGCTGGGTATCCCATGATGTGGTCTCTCAGTACTCAATAATCTGACTGATTTAAGATTGAATAACTTTTCCTTATTAGGCTCATTACCTCCCTAAAATTAATATTCTATTCATGGTTCTCTTTGTGTTTTTAATTTTTGAAAAAATTAATATGAATCCATATAACATTTTATTTTAGTTGATTCTCATATTAAAGTTTCTGCTTCGTCATCCTCCCCTTACCATTAGTTGTTTAACTAAATGCTCACGTGATATTTATTCTCTGATATTACCAATATCGATAAAAAGATGCATTAATTTAATGCATGTTCTGGCCCCACACATATCTAGAGGAACAAAAGCAATCATTGATTTTGAGACGTATTTCAGTGGGATGCATCAAAACAACGATTTCATGGCTCCCTTCGTATCCTAATCTCTCTTAAAGAGGAGTGTGGTTGTGTATAGGGGAAGATGCATAGTGATGATTAATGGTGCTGAGAATTAATTACATAGAGAGCATTAGAGCATTGCATATTTACATAGAGCAATGTGTTTAGAATATGTGTATTATATATGTTTATATAATTTTGTATATTTATAATATATGACTTTAATTAATGGTGTGTTTGTATGTGTGTGCACATACACACCATAGAACTTCTACCATGAAGCCTTATGGATGTGCTTTGGTGCTTGGAAACATGGGTGTGTCCCTTGCATAGATCTATGACAATTTGGCAGGACTGTTAAGTATACAGTGGGGAGAATCAGACTGCCTGCATGCAACTCCCAGCTCTGCCGTTGTTTTTAGTCATGTTATTTGATATCTAGAAAATGTAATAATAATGGCATCATGGTGTTCTTGAAGATTAAATGACTTCTTAATGCGTATAAAGTCCTACAAAGCACCAGATAAATAGTAAGTGCTCAGTTTTAGGTATCATTCTTGATCTTCTTTTGATACTGCTCTTCCAGGAGATAAAAGTTTTGTTTTGTTTTGCTTCACATCTGGATCATGTGTTAGATTTAGATTGTTTCCAATCTAAGAAGAGATCTTCATAATATGTCTCATTGTAATCGTGTTTGCAACTGTCTCACTTTTATCTGTAATCCCTTTACAGTTTGCAAATTGTAATGTGCTGCTATTAGCATGTCGTGAGTGCTACCTGGGAGATTGCTGATTCTCAGGAATATCATAAGTGCATTTATATTACTTTTCATGGATCTTCTGTGTGATATCTACACAGGGTAGGGGCATGAAACAACACAGACTATTTTGGGACCCTTCAATGTGGTCTGCCTGACTCTTGTTTCTCCCTGTTTCAATTCTTTCTTGTATGAGTGTAGGGGTGTTTTTCTCTTTTGTTCACTGTTATGTCTACCACCTAGAAGAGTGCCTGGCAATCAGTAATCACAGAGAAATATATTATAGCATCTCATAATCTAAAACCATTTACTTAACTTTTCAGTAGGTACCCAAGTCCCCTGATTTTATTCTGGTCTCAAACTACCTTATATAACCATTTGTTAAAAATGTATGTCGGATGCTGTAATAGTCCGTTGTCACACTGCTATAAAGAAACACATGAGACTGGGTAATTTATAAAGGAAAGAGGTTTAAGTGACTCACAGTTCTGCATGGCTTAGGAAACCTCAGGAAACTTACAATCATGATGGAAGGAGAAGCTGGCATCTTTTTCTCAAGGCAGCAGGAGAGAAAAGAGCATGCGAAGGAGGAACTGTCAAACACTTATAAAACAACAGATATTGCGAGAACTCATGAGAACAGCAGGGGGGAAACCACCCCCATGATCTAATCATCTCCCACTAGGCCCTCTCTCAACACATGGGGATTATGGGAATTATAATTTGAGATGAGATTTTGGTGTGGACACAGAGCCAAACCATATCGGATGCTTCTGTTAAATTGAATAGTTTGCCTACCGCCTAGAAGAGTGCCTGGCAAGCAGTCATCACAGAGAAATATATCATAGCATCTCATTATCTGAGCATCCTCCTCTTTATTTCCTTTATGTCTATAAAGCTACTACCTGATATACCTGTTGAATATGATGCTATTGCTTCTTTCATTACAAACCCTACCCATCTATCAAGACCAGCTCAGACTCTATCCCATCTATCTTAATCACCTGCATTCTTCAGCTTCCCTCCTCTGAATGTTACCTGTATTGTATGCATTTCCTCTGTCATTTAACCACTTGTATGTCCAATACAATTACTTGTGCATTCTGTATCTCTCTTTAGAACAGGGACCTTGTCTATTTCACCTTTGTATTCCCCATAGTGCATGTAGGCAGCAAATATTTGACAACAGCAAATATTTAATAAAGACCTACTCAGTGACAGATACTGAACCCAATGACAGATTTGCTTTCTAGGAATGTGAGTGATATTCTTCTCCTGTGTTTCCTAAAAATATTTGGCTAGTGATTGTTTAAACACATTTATATGTTGAACATCATAGTGTTTCAAAACAGTCCTTGGACTTGGTATCAGATATACTGAGTCAAATCCAGGGAGGCTATGTGACTTTGGTATGATAACACAGCCCTTTAAGGATCTTGGTTTTCTTGTCTGAAAGTAGGAGTAATAGAATCACACTATAGCATTAATTGAGGTAACATATTGTGGGGAGAGATCTCGAGGGGATCCTAACCAAAGGATTGGTTAGACTGCGGAAGATATCAAATAAAAGTAAGTTTTCAGCCAGGCACAGTGGCTCACACCTGTAATCCCAGCCCTTTGGGAGGCCAAGGTGGGTGGATTGTTTGAGGCCAGGAGTTCAAGACCAGCATGGCCAACATGGCGAAACTCCATCCCTACAAAATATGCAAAAATTAACGGGGAATGGTGGCATGTGCCTATAATCCCAGCTACTCAGGAGGCTGAGGCAGGAGAATTGCTTGAACCAGGGAGGCAGAGGCTGCAGTGAACCAAGATTGTGCCATTGCACTCCAGCCTGAGCAACAGAGTGAGACTCTGTTTCAAAATAATAATGATAATAATAATAATAATAATAATAATAATGACTTTTTGTCTTTCCCTATTTGAATAAAAGTAAAATAGTTTTTCAAGGGTGTCATTAGCTTTATGTTGTCGTTCTAACTCTGCCCCTGTCAGATATTCTTTGAATGGGACAAACAAACTCTCACAATGTCTGGGCATTGGGGATGTTATGATGCCGGACCATGCTGCTACTTTTTCCTGCCTCTAAAAGCTCTCTGGTAAATATCAATTTGTCTGCTGTGGTGGTTATAAACTGCTGCTCTCCTCCTATTCTTCGTGAAATACAGGGGTTCTAAGTTGTGTTTTATGTACTTGTGTTTTATCTATAGCATACAGAATTGCAAACAATGCTATTTGTGGGGTTATTTTCACTTTTTCAAAATATCTTCACATCCATTATTTAATTTGGTACTCTTGACAAAGTCTATGAACTTGGTAGGGAAGGTACCAGTGCCATAATCCCTTTTCAAATGAAGACATAGAGCCTCAGAGTTTAAGTGGTCTGCCCAGGGTCACACAGTTAAAAAGGGGGCAACAAAAAGGGTTCATCAAACACAAGTCACTAGGCTACAAATCTGACACCCTCTCTGCTTAGCTTGAAAGCAAAGGGGTATTTGGGAACTCTAACATCCTTCATCCTAATGATCTTCTCTATTCTTCTTTTGCAGAGGCGTCCATCCTGAGCTATGATGGCAGCATGTACATGAAGATCATCATGCCCATGGTCATGCATACGGAGGCAGAGGACGTGTCCTTCCGCTTCATGTCCCAGCGAGCTTATGGGTTGCTGGTGGCTACAACCTCCAGGGACTCTGCTGATACCCTGCGTCTGGAGCTGGACGGGGGGCGTGTCAAGCTCATGGTTAACTTAGGTATCGTATGAAGTACCCTCTGCCACTCTGTTTGGGCTTGTCTTCCCTTTCTTTTCTGATTTTCATTGGTTTGATTGAATTCTTTGTTTGTTTCTTGAAAGTTAGCTGCTCACCTCTTGTTTAATAGACCAAGGATAAAACCCAACAGCAACAAACACCTTCTCCTTGTTTCTGCATGAGGTTTTGATGTCAATTTCTGGTTTCTGACAATAGTGATTTCTTTATTAGATTATTTGTTTTCTAAGTTTCCTTTCTTGTTTTTTGGAATCGTTTAGCTTTGTGTAAAACACGCTACTTTGGTCCATCTTTTGATCAATCATATTCCCATAAGTCCAACTCCTCGGTCACCACTCAAAACAGTCGAAGCTGCGGGCAGGGACAGGGCAGGAAGTGGAGGCAAAATGTGGATGTGGGGTTGTAGGAAATTAAACTCCGTGGGTCGTGTGAGACATACATTGTTTCTAGCTCCACGGTTACTACTCAAATGGAGAATTCTGGTGGCCTTGATGACACTGATACCTCCTTTCACCTTCTCCTAGTGGGGGACAAGTAGATTGTTGTTCCCTTGGAAAATAATTCCCTAAGTTGAGAGTCTGTGACACTTGGAAGGAAAATGTGGCTCCTGATATGTATACCCATTTTTCTTGACATTCTTAACCATCACTCAGCACCCCTTTGTGCAAAGGTTGTTACCTTGTACTAATACTCACTAATAACTCTCTTCTCCTCACATAATACGTTTCTGTTTTACCTCAGAGTTGAAAAATTACGACTTCAAATTTGTAGCTTTATTGGAATAGGATTTTCCCTTTCATTGTAATTACCCATAACAGAATCTTTAGAAATTTTCCTATTTATGGCCTCATATTCTCTTCTGCTATTGATCTTTACTGAATTCTAATTGATATTCTATAGAGATTGGGGTCTTCTTGGTTTTTGGAAAGAAAAAACCCTCTATTTCTGCTATTTCTAATCAACAGATAGTCAATACCCAGCATTGATAAGATTACTGAGATAGCGGGGTCCAAACTTTCTAAGCTGTTGGATTTATTTGGTTATGTAGGATGTGTTTGGATATAGTGATACCTTATAAAGAGTTGAGTGCAAGGGTTTGTCAGAGCCATGGAGAAGAAATGATGAACGAATGTACCTGATGCAAGATCCTATGCAGGGCTAGATGTCCTGGTGGGAAGGTGGGGTTTTTGAATCCATACCAGTCTTATCTGCTGTTGGGTCAACTGGACATACTTGGAAAATGCCTACACCATAACCTAAAATCTCTGGGACACAAAGGACTGTTTTGAGCAGTGACTTAGTGATGTCTTTTTTTTTCCTTCTAGTTTGCAGCATTTACAACGCTGTGCCCTTTTTCTTGTCCAAATTCATTTGATTTCTCTTGTCAGTGTGTCTCTTGGTTTTTCTTTTGTTTGTGTATGTGTGTGTTTGGTCATTTTATGTTTTTTTACTATTATTATTTTTGCTGGACCTTTTTGTGTGCGTGTGTTCTTGAGTTTCCAATCCTCTCCACCATCAACCATGGTAAATCAAAAGATGGTATTCAACCCTTCAAAGGCCCAAAGCCTGCGGCCCGCATAGCAAACAGCCTTGAGAACACAGCGTACTGAGCAGCCTACAGAGACTGGCATACCCCTGACCCTACTACCTTCCACCCCTGCACCATCCTCCCCACCTTAAATCAATGTAAGAGTGTGTTACCTAAAACCAACAGCCAGCAGCTGATTCTCTGCTTCTCAGAAAAACAACAGAAGAAATAAAAAAAACAGAACCAAATACAACCCCTTGACTAGCTCACTGAAAAAGATGAGGAAGACAATTTTTATCTCTGGATCTATTTCAAAGTCAGAGAGAAACAAACACATGAGAGTGATTCAGCCCTGTGGGATCCTGAGGGAGTGCACACTGTGTCATTAAACAGACATATTTTTCCCCATTAGATGTTGTTTAGTAAAGATGAGAGTGTCAACTTTGACAGGTCTCATATCTTCGGAGGAAAAACTGGGGTCAGCAGGGGTAGAAATAAAAAGGTATTTAGGAAATAGGTATACAGATTCTCACACACACACACACATACACCTTGAGTTAGTCACAGAAAAGGCAAAAAAAAGGCAAATAAGGAAATAGGTATACAGATTCTCATTATCATTCACTCTCTCACACACACATACACACGTACACCTTGAGTTAGTCATAGATCTCATGTGCATTCCTAGAAGCATTATTTTACTTTATTTTGTGACTGAGTTTCACTCTTGTGGCCCAGTCTGGAGTGTAACGGCGCAATCTCTGCTCACCACAGCCTCTGCCTCCCAGGTTCAAGCGATTCTCCTGTCGTAGCCTCCTGAGTAGCTGGGATTACAGGCAGGTGCCACCATCCCAGCTAATTTTGTATTTTTAGTAGAGACGGGGTTTCTCCATGTTGGTCAGGCTGGTCTCGAACTCCTGACCTCAGGTGATCCGCCCACCTCTGCCTCTCAAAGTGCTGGGATTACAGGCATGAGCCACCGCGCCCAGCCAATTTTTGTATTTTAAACTCTAGCCAAAATCTGGGAGATGTGCTTTTCCAATAGACTTTGCTTTTTTTTTTTTTTTTTTTTTTTTTTTGCGTTTATCATCTTTTGTTACAATTCAGTCTACCTGCTGCTGAGTTGAACAATCTCAGTAAAAAGAGAGGTAGCCTGTCCCAAGAGAGTACTGTGCTAGTCCAGAAGCAGTAGTTAATTTTTTTACCCTGAAGGATATGGTTCATCATAATTACAGCTTTCCCTCCAATCTGACATGGAAAACTGAACTTAAACTCTTACACTTGTGTAGATGCAACTCTTCATATCCATGCTTTGTTTAAATGTTTTCCTTCCATCTCCTCCCCAAAATATGCCCCTTTGTAAATATTTTCTTCCTCTGTGCCAGGAATTTATATTTCCTTTTTCTTGGTTGTAGGAGAAAATGTCTCCAAGTAGAGTTTGCCTTCACATGCATTCCACCAAAACTAATTCCAAAGGATCACTTTGCTCCCCCGCTCTGTTCAAGTTGTGTTTTTTCAACTCATGCACTAATAATATTTTAGTTTATTTCAAATTGATCACACATATACACTCATGATGTAAAAGCCTAGCATATATTTATCTGATGTAACATATCTTCCAAATGTCAAGGAGACTAGGGTTTTCCAATGGCTTTGTCTTCTGCAGGGAGCCATATGTGGTGCTCACAGGTATGAGAAACATCGTGTAACACAGCACAATTTTTAAAAAGTTGAGAGGTTGACTATGGATCAACCACATTTTGATCCCTTAGAATTATAAGCTACAACCTTTTATTATTACAGCATATTTAAAGATTTAAAAGACCTTGTCTTATTATAATCTCATGATAATTTTGTGAGATAAATCAATCAAGTCTTTTTGTGCTTACTTTTACAGATGTGTAGCACAGAGAGAAATACAACTTTTCAAAGCTTTCATAAGAAGCTGGAGGCAGAGCTAGAACCCATGTCTCTAAACTGCTAGATCAGCATGGGTTATTTGTTCCCTTCACAGATCAGGACTATGGGTCAGTGATGTGTCAGTCTTAATGACTTCCAACTGTTTTCACGATGGTCACCTTTGAAACATGCACAGAGGGAATCTTCATTTTCCTCAGTGCCCAGTTTGAATTGAGCTGCACAAGAGAAAAGACCGTTGATATAGGAAAAGCCTTTAAAAGATCCTTTGCAGAGTGCCAGGAGCCCTTGTTCAATGGCAGAGACTCCGAGGGAGTGACAGGCAGTTTGCCTAATTGCATTTGAATTCTCCAGATGTTCTCTCTCTGGAAATGTGGACTTGCTCCTACTGTTTATTGTATATATTATTGAAGACACACAGCTCTTAGAAACATTTACCTCTCCCATGCTCAACCCAAAGCTCGCCAATGAGAAATACTTTCTTGGCCAGGAGCAGTGGCTCACACCTGTAATCCCAGCACTTTGTGAGGCTGAGGTGGGTGGATCACAAAATCAGGAGTTTGAGACAAGCCAGGCCAACATGGTGAAACCCTGTCTCTACTACAGTACAAAAATTAGCCTGGCGTGGTGGTGCATACCTGTAATCTCAGCTACTCAGGAGGCTGATTGCTTGAACCCGGGAGGCGGAGGTTGCAGTGAGCCAAGATTGCGCCACCTGCACTCCAGCCTGGGCAATAGAGTGAGACTGTCTC